ACTGGACTTATCAGGGGGATCACTTCATAGATTATATAAATACCTAACCACTGTGCTGTACACCTAAAACTAACATAAAATAATACTGAATGTCATATATATATATATATATATATATATATATATATATATATGGTGTGATCAAAATATACAGTGAATGTTTAAATAAAAAAAAGTTTAGGGGCTGGCCGAGTGGTGCGTTGGTTAAGAGTTGGCTTGGGATGCCAGCTCTGAGCAGCAGGGTCACGTTTCAGATCCCACATTGAGGGCCAGTGACACTGCGCCCTCTACAGCTAAGATGGTGAACAACAGCTCAACCTGGAGCTGGGCTGCCATAATTCCCTGGCGATGGCGTAGGCTGCAGTGGGACTGCAGTGGGCCGCTGTAGCTACCGTGAGTGGCCGGCAGCCAGCGTGGGCTGCCGTGAGCCCCCATGAGCAGCCGTCCAACGGCCTGCGAGCGACTGCCTCTCTCAGGAAGAGCGCCATGATCACAATACCAACATGGGCCAGTGAAGCGATGTCCTCCACAACTAGACTGAAGAACAAAAAGACAGCAGCTTGTCTGTTCCCCTTCCCCGATTCCCCAACGCTGTTTCCCTCCAATTCCCCAATAAAAAAAACTATATAAAAAAAAAATTATTACAGCAAAAAACACACTGCCATTAATTCCCCTCAAAATACTCCCCCTTGCTTCAAACACACTTATCCCATCGTTCTTGCCACTTTCTGAGGCAGTTCTGGAAGTCCTCTTTCATGAGTGTCTTTAGTTGTCCTGTCATGGCTACCTCGATGCCCTGAAGTGATTCAAAACGTTTACCTTTCATGGTCATTTTGACTTTGGGGAAGAGCCAGAAGTCACAAGGTGCCAGATCCGGTGAATAAGATGGATGAGGACACACCATAATGTTTTTATCTGACAGAAATTGCTGTACCAGAAGCGATGTGTGACACGGAGTCTTCCTGTTGTGATCACAATTACAGTGAATGCTGCTGCCGAGTGCCATCCAACGTAAAGGCAGGGATCTTCAACACAGGAAGCAGCATGTTGAACCTTAGTAACAATGTGTGACAAGTTTCAATTTGTCTGATGCAGTCAGTTGGGTGTAAGCTACGGTTGAGAGAAGGTCTGTTTTAAAGTTGCCATAAATCATCCACTATCATGACAACGCTGTGTGTCACACATTGTCTCCAGTATACGGTAACTTCTGTTAAATAAAAACATTATGGTGTGTCCTAATCCATCTTATTCACCCAATCTGGCACTGTGGGACTTCTGACTCTTTCCCAAAGTCAAAATGATTCAGGACATTGAGGCAGACACGACAACGCAACTAAAAATAGTCATGAAAGAGGATTTCCAGAACTAATTCAGAAAGTAGCCAAGAACGATGGGATAAGTGTGTCCGAAGTGAGAGGGAGTATTTTGAGAGGGATTAATGAAATGGCAATGTGTCTTTTCCTGTAATAAATTTTTTAAAATTTAAACATTCACCATATTGTTTGATTACAGCTCATATACATATATGCATATATAGTCATGGGGTAAAGTACAGCACAGGGAATATAGTCAAGGGTATTGTAACAGCTATGTATGATGTCAGAGGAGTAGTAGATTTGGTGGGGTTATCACTTTATGAAGGGTGTAAATATCTAATCATCATGTTGTTTTGTACACCTAAAACTAATAATAAAATTAAATTTAAAAAAAAATCCAGATCTTGGTTTCTAAATACTATTCCCTACTAAAAGGATTGAAGGCTCCTTGAGAAAAGGATGGTTCTTAACTTGGGGCAGTAAGGAGACAAAATAAGTCTATAATTATTGTTGTTGTGCCAGAAAATAAGGAAGTGCTCAAAAAAAGTGATGAGTATGTCAAAATATATAGGCACCATTTTGAATAGGTTCCCACTGGTCCAATCTGGGACAATTTGAATATCAAAATTAAAGAAGGGCACTAATAGATGATAATGAGTTTGAATTGATAATAGCTTTTAAAATGGAGATAAAAGGGAGAAAACTCTTCCTTAGAAGAGAGTTCCAACTAATAAACAAAAGAAATGATGAAATTAGAAAATCATATAGTGGCAATTTTTTTGTATTGTTCTTGCAACTTTTCTGTAAATTTGAAATTGTCAAATAAAGTTAAAAAATTAACAATTATAATATAAATAGTAAAATACCTAAGTGTATATTACATAAGTATATGTTTTAGGCTTACCAACTTGTAAAATTAATGCAGATTTGCAAATTATAGTACCAGTTCCTGATGTTTAATAACAATATGAAAATGAAGAACAATTCCTAACATTTATAAACTGACACGACTGATTGACATGACTAATTATATATCTATTTAATAGATTACTTTCTGAATCATTATAATTTGAAATTTGACAGGAAATTCCCAAGTTCTCAAATCTTTTGGTTTTAACTGAATGTTTTTAAACTCCTTTCAACCCTCAGATTTTATAGTTCTTTACAATTATATGTTTTATTCATCTAATACTGACATGCTACGTTGTATTGCTAATTGACTTTTAAATGTTTGGCTGTCTGTCCCTCTAATCAGGTTGATGGAGATTAGGGAATGTCTCTCACAACTTTTCTTTCTTCCATAGGGGTAATTTGGGGAGAACATACCAAACAAAAATTCAATATAAATGAAAACCTATAAGATTGAAGAGCAAATGCAGTACAGCAAATAGTGTAGTCCTCTATGTCTCTGATGAGTTCTTAAGAGGAAATAAGTTAAGCACCCCCTTCTCAATCCTCCCCGCTGTGTACAACAGCATTAAGGGAGATCAACAGGGTTGGAGGTAGTAGCCCTGCTCTCAGGACAGAATCAAGAAACAAACACCATCAAGAGAATCCTTAGTCGTGAGTGCTGGTAGGCTGAGGCACGCACATCCTATTGGTTCACATGAGGCTTGACTTGGCACCTTTGAATTTTGTCCTCTCCCACCCACAAAAAGGCCTCTAGATATGGGGCTTCAGTATCAATCACATGGGGTTATTAACACATTTTCTCATAAGTTTTCATACGGATTAAATGAGCTGCTATTTGTAAAGTACATGGCATGGTAAGCACTATGTAAGTTTGTGAAAAACAGCCCAGAGAACATCCCCAAATTATATGTGCCAAAATCTGTATCTTCATGAGTGGTCCTTCATTGCTTATCTGATCTCAGGTTTTTTTTCTTCTCTTTAATCACTTCCTGTACTTTGAGGGTTTTTTTCTAAAATTTACCTTTTATTTCTGAATGGATTTTTCTGAATTGCTAATATGAGTTTTGCCTTTTATGTTGACTTTGTGGTTTTCATAATCTCTTGGCTTTTCAACACGTGGAAACATCTCATTGAGAAAAAGGAATTGGAGGTTTCTAAGATGTTTCTATAATTAAGCAAATCTATTCCATGAAAAAGATTTTTCTTAAGTCTTAACTTTTCTCTTACCTTGTGATACAATATTTTTTCATAAATCCTATTAGCTGTTTTTCCTTTATTCCTGTTTGCTTATTCTTTAAACATTATTGGTTGTTATTGGATGTGTGATGTCCAGATATTGAAGAGTTGTTTTTAACTCCCAACCCTAGAATTCCAAGTTAACACAGGAAAGAGCTAGCAAGATAAATCTCTTCTCCTGTCCTTCAGATATTACAGTAAGTGATAAAAATGAAACCCCATACTAGACTTTGGGGACAAGGGCTAGTACAGTTAATGAAGAAGTCACTGAAGTTCTGAGGCCAGGCATGGAGCAGTCCATCCACCTCTTCATTATACCTGAGATTCCAACTGGAAGCTAGAATCAGCAGGCGTCAGGCACTCATTGTACCCACTGCCACTAGCTGGTTTCATAGTGATTTTTAAGAGATTTAGGATGAAAGAATAATTAAATCCAATCATTACTCCATCTTTTGAGGCAAGACTGATACTCTGATTTTACATTTACAAAGCTCTGTCTCCAACAGGTTAAGTGATTTGCTCAGTCATAATAGTAATGTTCTGATGATAAATCCAGTGTCATTTTACCACCTAATTACTCTTCCATGATCTATGTACAGTGAGAAGAATTATAAAAGACAGTAGAGCAAGATTCTTACAGATTAGGTATATGCAATCCTGAGCAAATATGACTCCTCAAAGTATTTCTTTTCGTTAACATTCTTAATAAATGCTGCCATATTTTTTAGCTTATTAACATGAAAACTGAGTGGTTGGGAGAACTAAACTATATAGATTATATTAATTATATATAAATATATAACATACATTTATTATTCACTTAGGGAAATACTTCTAGAAATATTTTAATCTTATCAGAACAAATAGCATTTTTTTAAACTGTTACATGCAAATGATTTCTGTATCTGTGTACCACGTTTACCCATCAGTTTTCAAAACATCTGGGATGGCATTCTAAAGTAAACAATGTTCATAAGACCATCTGGACAAAACTGCAGGCAAAAAAAAAAGCATAAACATATGGAAAGACAGATTTTACCCTTCCCCTCAGCCGTGCGGGCTGACAAATGTCAGGCCTAGACACAGCCACGCTTCACTGTGCGATGCTTTTCAGCACCACCTGGCTCTCCATGCAGAGCCACCAAATATGGACGGCACTGCCAGAAAGAACATGTCCAGAGGGCAATGGCAATAAAAATAGTTTATTTCATGGTTAAATAGCCACTTCACACAAGTGGCAAGAATCTGTTAGCTGACTTTTACTTGTCAGTCTATCAGAATATATTCAAAATTAATTATGCTATTAGATTTGAATATTAAATAGATCACATAATTGAACTAGAAAATAAAATGATATTTTCTAAGAACCATTTAAATTTGTTTTATTTAAAGTACAAGTTTTTCGTTTTACTAAATAGCATGTTCATAATATGTAACAATTCAAATTCAATGAATTTATCAAATGTCCATTGTGTGCCAGGTGCTACATGAACCACTATCTACATTTACACGTAACTGCTCATGATTTATAACTGGAGTATAATGAATTGATACACAGTGAACAGCACAGAGACATTAATTCTTAAATTCATGATATTTTAGTGAAATTTTTAGAAACTAAGTATACATGTACATTTGCTCACTAAGAAACTGTCAGCTGAGAGTTTAAGATTCTAGCTTAAAACCAGGGTGTCTGAGAGAATCAGTCTTTCAATTTGACACATAAACAGGTATGTGTGTTTTAATAAAAAGCAATTTATTACTTTTACTGAAGAATGATTACTGATCATTACAAGAAAGCTACTCAATCTGGCAGTGATTCTATTCATATTCACTTTAAGTGATCATATTCACTTTAAGAACTCTTCCTTTATAAACACAGAACCAAATGCACTAAGGACTGAACTTCAAGATATTTTTTTAAGTATGGTATAATTAAGAGGACAAAGATGCTATAGCAATAACAAAAAAGACAAATTTTGATTATATGTTTTGTTCTCCTGAAGTTTTATGTGAACCTATGAAACGACTATAATTAGAAAGAATAATCACAGAATTTCAGGGTTAGAAGGTTATTTTATTCAAAGGGGTTTACTCTATCTCACCTTATCTCCTTCATATTACCTACACTGTCATCAGACATTGCACTTTTGTAATAAAGTAACATAGACCCTAGAATATAAAAAACATTGAGAAAAAACTTCAGGCATTCTAGATAAAAAATTTTAAAGCTCTTTTAGATCTCTGTAATTTACCTTTAAACCTATAATCTGAGTACTCAAAGAGCTGCTGGTTAACTGAGTATCTTGACAGGTTTTGTACATACTTCAGGTCTTGCAAGACAGAAAACTGTCTGAAGCACCAGCAAAGAAAAAGCAAAAAAAAAAAAAAAAGATTGATGGACCTGGCAACAATGACATTAAAAACTTTATTACCCAAAAAACCCTAAAAACTATAAAGTTAAATATAGAAAAATGGGTATTTTTGTCAACTATATGCTTTGAATAATCTTTCTGGAGGACTGTTTAACAACAGAATCAAAATTTAAGATATGCTTATAAATTGGTCAGAAATCCCCCAAAATTTAACCTACACAAATAAAAGAGCAAATATACAGAGATGCAGCTTTGCTTATCATGGGAGAAAACTGAAAACAACCAATATGGATTTGTTGCCAAGTAATATTAAATGTCTCTTTTCTCAAAGGTATAAATATTTGTGAATTGCTTTGGTTAAACCAGAAGGGGAACACCAGTGCTTCCCGAGTTTCCCACAGGCATGAAGAAAGTAAACTTATCTGGCAGTTTGCTTATTTAAAGAAAGAGTTTGAGAATATTATCTCCACTGATAATTGTCCCCATTGCAGACAGATAATGAAATCGAGGCACACAGCTAGTCAGTCAGAGAGAAGATTCAAACCTAGGCAGCCTGGCTTCAGAAACCACACACGTATGATCTCCTATCTGTTTTGTATAATAATGGTTGGTAAGGTTACTAAGTGATAATTTAAGACACTGATGAAACGCTACTGGTGATATGAAAGAAAAGGCCACTACTCTTAAGCAAAGCAGAATGTAATCAATTACTGGACGTCTTTGGTGTGTGAATTTATAGCTTTATTAAAAGTTTGTATCAGCCCTTCTCAAAGGGTTCCTCAAAAGAATTAAGCCCTAATGCCCTAGGCACCCACTGTACACAATTAACTTCTCCCTATGTTTCAGAAGGGTACTAGTTAGTGCCATCTTTGGGAGAAGTGAGAAAATAATCACTCATTCAAATAATTTTCTGTGTTCTGTAGTTCAGATGAGGAACCCCTGATTTAAATCCCTACAGGTAACAGTAGGAATTTTTGTCTCTAACCCTTTTTATACAGGGAGATAACTGTTTTTAATACTTATTTTTGAAAATGCAAAATTTTTAGGCATACAACTGTCACTTTATAGCAGAACAAAATGTATTACTTTTTAAGAAAAAGGTTACAGTGTTAAATTACATTCAAATTGTTACTGAAAAGGGCAAAATATTATTTATCTTCAGATCCCAAACAAGCCATTTACTTTCTTATTTCAAAAAAAAGACACAGGAAACTTATACTTAATAAAATCTCTGAAAGAACCAACATAAATCATGTCATTTTACACCAAGCACATAAGCTTAATGAATTTATCAGAATATAACATTTTATGCTCTCTTTAAGCTCTTTGAAAATAGCATCTCAGCAGTATTAAAATTATGGGCTAAATGCATTGATTTAGGAAAAAATGTGGGATTGTCAATCATCTGTCCAGTTCACAAAAAGTAAGGCAATACCTAACAATATTATTTCACCAGGAATTCCTGTATTCTATAAGTATCTGTACATACTTACATAACCTTTACAAGACTATCAAAGTGAGCTGACTTTCAGAGAATATTCACCCACTTTTTAACAATACATATTTCTGGGTAGGTCTCACATTAAAGTTTTCTTGCTCTTTTTCAATTTTGTGTTATATATGACCTTTTCATTACATGAGGATTTTCTTTGTTGTTTTTAGTTTTCTAGTATGTGTTTGAGGGGGAGGGTATGGAAGGATTTTTTTTTTTTAAAGCAAATCCTAGCATCAGATGTGACATCTGCACAGCTGTAAGCATTCTTCTGGGAACCTGCAGAGGTTCCCTCAACTGCTTAATGCAATTACCTAAACCAGTCATGTAGTATTAATGTAATTTGCCCATTTCTACATCTGAAAATAAGTTTAATCTTTAAAAAGGAAAAACTTGCTGCCCCACTACTCCTCTACCTTGGAACCAAATAATAATTACCTCACCTGTTTATTCTCAAAATTCCACTAACTCCTACTTAACTACTAGCCTTAGAATTCTTTATTTGATCATATAATAAACCGATATTGCCACATGGGTGGGCAGGTATACATACAGAGGCATTCCTATCTATCTCCACACTACAGTAAAGAGATTTTTCTAAAATACAAAACCGTTCACTACTTCTCCACTTAAAATTAGTGGTTCCTCACTGACTACAGCATAACTCTAAACTTACAAGGCCCTTTAATGTCTGTTCCCACTTACCTCTAGCCTCACCTCTCAGCATTCCCGAGCACCACAAAACTCAACCTTGCAGCTCTATAAAATTCCCTCAAGTAGCAAGCTCCTCATCAATAAGCTATTTCCTCTGCTTGGAACACACCCCTTCCCTCTGCCTAGCTGATTTCTATACATCTTTCAGCTCATGGCTTAAAAGACTCTCCCCTTAAATAAAATGTTCCTGACTGCTCCAGTCTAGGTTAGATACTACTCCAAAGAGTTCTCATAGTCCCCTGTACTTGCTCCATCACAGCACTATTTAAACTAGCAATTATAATTGTGATTTGTCAATATCCTGCACTGGACCAAAAGATCAATAATGGCAGGAACTGAGCAATAGATCTGTGTCATTCACTAAGGTATCTCCAATATAGCACAGCGTCTGGCACAATGTAGGAAAACAAATATATTAAAAGACTGAATGAATACATAAAACAATTTTAATATTAATATTCAGGGCTTTTTTGGGTGAAAATGCAAAGCTTATCTACTTCCTCAGTAAAAACTGGTTACATGCTAGTTCAATTCAATTCAGCAAGTATTTACTGCTTAGTCACACAGGAATCAAAAAGAATATAAGCCAGGGTACAATCCTCAAGGAACACCGAGTTTTATAAATAAGACACAAACAGATGCAAGCTAAATGCCACAAAACCAGATGTTATTAGATTCTAAAGTATGCTTAACAGAAGAAAACAGATAAAGGATTGGGAAAGTGTCCTTGAAGTAGGATTTGAGCTGAGCCTCAGGGCAAGTAAAGCTGATGACAGGAAATATAAAGGCAGAAATGTGCCAGTTCAGCAGTTCTCAAAGTGGATCTGAAGACACCCTCCTGAAAACACCATCCTCCTTTCAGGGTCCTTAAGGTCAAAAGTGCTTTATAGTAAGTCTAAGATGTTATTTGCTTTTTTTACTTTTTTTCATTCTCAATTATACAACAGTTTTCCACAGGCTACATGCTGTGATATCACAACAGACTGAATGCAGAAGTAGCTATGAAAATCCGCTGTTTGTTATTAAGCCAGGCATTAAAGAGATTTGTAAAAACATAAAACCATGCCATGTATTAAGTTTGTGTTATTTTGAAAAATTATCTTTCCTAAAAATGTTATTTGTGTTAACATGTCATGAAATTATTGCTATTTTTCGGTGAATATTTTAATTTTTTTTAGTTTTAATTTCTAATATGATGAGTATTGATATACATATATAACCTACCTAACCGAAGCTCTTTAAGTACTCAATAATTTTGTAAGCGTCTAAAGGGCTACTAAGCAAAAAGTTGCAATCACTGAGCTAGTTGTTTTTAAGTGATGGATGAAGCACCAGCCTAGATTCTGTGTGTAGAGAAGTTGAGTTAGATGTATTAGACACGAAATCAGCTGTGGCATTGCGAAACTTAAGAACATGTTTAAGGTATAGCTGCAGGCTTTTCTCTCAGTAACGTTATTTTTACTTAGTGAAAATATAAAGAGAATCCTTTAAAATCTTCTGATTCTCCCACCTAAATACAATACATAGTTATGTATTTTTTTGAATTACCATAGAGACATTTTTACATTTCTACAGTCTTTACAATTATCATTTAAAACAGGTGCATAATCATATCTGACATTCTTACAAACCTCAATAGCACCTTTCATATTTGATTTTTAAAGTATTTTATAAAAACATATTAAAGACTCATGCAAGAAAGAATATGGCAGATTACTACCCCACAAAAACTTACTTCTAGAATGCCAACGAATCTTACTTTAAATCAAACTTGCCTGACAGATCCTGTAGCTTGGAATACAAAGATAACCACATTTTGCCCTAGAACTCCTGGAAACTTTGAATTCAGAACTGCGTCTCTCCCTATCTTTGAAAACTCCACACACTCTCAAACTCCTTGAAGAACCTGTTTCCCACTATTCCAGGTGCTACCCATAGTTCCCTACACACAACTGAAGCTTACACTGGTCCTTCTCACCACCTGAAATGATTTCTCCTCTCATTCAAATTTCATCCTTTAAGGGTCAGCTTGAAAGCCAGCTCAGCCTAGATTCCTTTTGAATTCCTCTAAATTAAGCATTACATTCCTCCATGAATAGCTAAAGGACTTTGTTTGGGCATCTCTCAAAATACAAATTCTATTCTGCTTACATTATTACTTTTTTATTTCACACCTTCTTTTAGATCTTAAACGTCTTTAGGGCAGGAACTCTTATCAATCTTTATTCCCTGAAGCACCATGGGAAAGAGGGGCAATGGGCTGAGGGCTCAGCCAAACTGTAAGCTGCCCCAGGTCACACACCTACTGACTGGAGGAGTCAAATTTGAATGCCAGACCCCCCTGACTCAATGCCCATGTTTTTCTCCCATACTATTCCATGCTCCCTACCTTTAATGACAATAAATATTCAAGAAATGTCAAACTGAATGGAATCAAACTGGCTTTGGTTTTAACTTCAAAGAACCTCTAAGGTAAAAAACCCAGAGAAAATAATTTCAATAACTGTACTTTTGCCATCCTTGGCATCATATCCCTACATATTTTTTTTATTATGGCCAACAAAACAAATTTAGTGTGCAGTTTGCAGGAGACAGCCCTGAGGCCAATACCTACTCCTGAAGTAGTCAATGTCTATCACCGCCATATTTTCCTGATTCTTTAGTCGAGCATAATTGGAGCTATGACTGGTATGCCTGGGACAGAGTGAGATTTCAGTAAATGTTTGCTGAATAAATAAATGAATGAGTGATGAAACTAATATTTCTTCTAATGTCCAAGAACCTGAGTTTACCTCCTCTAGTTCCTCCTCCAATTTCTTCACCATTACTGTCTCAAAACAAGTTAAAAAAGCAACTGTATACTGAGCGATAGAAAATATGGCTGACAATTATATTTGTATATAATTTTTTGGTTTCTGATGCCAATTTCTAAGCAGTTCAATTCCATTCCAAATGCATTTCAAAATTATCATGCCCATTCATTCCCATTCATCTAATCAAAATCCTAAGCTTTGTACTTGATTCCTCCACACTGTCTCACTATTACATCTTTTCTTATGTGACTTTTTTTTATTATTAGTTTCAGGTGTACAAAACAACATAATGATTAGACATTTACACCTCTCACAAATAATCCCAACAAGTCTACTACCCCTCTGACATTATACACAGTTGTTATAACACCATTGACAATATTCCCTATGCTGTACTTTATATTCTGTGACTATATAAATATACATTTAGTTATAGTTGACATTCAATTTTATTTTATATTAGTTTCAGGTGAACAGCGCAGTGGTTAGGCATTTATATAATCTATCATCCCCCCCATATGTCCAGTACCCATCTGACACCCTATATAATCTTTACAACATTATTGATTATATTCCCCATACTGTATTTCACATCCCCATCCCTCACTCATTACATCTTAATCTACCCACCTTGTACCCATGCCTCTGCTAGTCGCTCACCTGCCCTACCACAATAACCTCCTTTAACCTTCTTAATTATCTCCCCACCTCCACTCTTAACCCCCAACAGTCCACACTCTCCCCATAGCATTCAAGAGTAATCTTGTTTTAAAAAAGATGAAATAATGGTTACTCCCCTGCTTACAACACTTTGAGAGCTTCCATTACACTTCCAATAAAAAATTTTTTTCCAAGGAATTCCTTACAGTATCCTTAACTTCATTTCATTTTACTCTCTCTTAGCAAACCACACTCCAGCCAAATTGGCCTTTCTTGATCACTGTAACCACTAGATTATGGCCTATGACTGCAATCTGCTCCTTTCCTTTATAGCACTTACCAAAAGTTACTATGTATTTAGTTGTTTTTTTTTGTCTGTCTCCCCCACATACTCTAAACCTCAAGGAGCAAGATAAGTGTTTTTGTTTTACCACTACATATCAAATCAAGTATAAAACCTGGCATATGGTAGGTTTTACTTACTAATATTACTTAATAATTCTGAATAAAGAAACTGTTTCCCTATTACTATTAATTTATATTAACATGCATTATATATTGCTTATGTTAGATAACAAAGTGTATAATTAACCAACTATATAATATATAGTTACTATTATATAATAAAGGATTTGGCTGCCCTTGGTCCCAGGTTCCTGAGAAGTACCTTCTAAATCCTTGGATTTCCAGAATAACTGGAGTGTCCTTTTTATTCATGATGGACCCCTCAGACCACATTTGATAGTTTATGCTAACTAAGTTAACAAAGCATCTTTTTTTACTCATTGTGGGTGCCTAGACAGTTACCAGTAATGAAATGACTCAAGATGGAAGCTGGCTGTGCCAGAAGGACCAACCATGTGAATAGAGAGTTGGGGTCCAGAGACTGAGTTAAATCATGTGGCCAACAATTCAGTAAGTCATGCTTATGCAATGAAATGCCAATAAAAACTCTGGACACTAAAGCTCCAGAGAGCTTCCCTGGTTAACAATACTCTGTGTGTATTATTCCGTATCAGTGGGGAAGGAAAGTGATGCCTCCTGACTCCACAGGAAGAAGGTACAGAAACTACATGTTTGGGGCCTTCCCAAGCCTGCCATATGTGTCTCTTCTTTTGGTTGGTCCTGATTTCTATAGCACTTTCCTGAGTTCTCTGAGTCATTGTAGAAAATTATTGAACCTCAGAGGGTAGTGGGAACCCCTGAAAATGTAGCCAGTTGGTCAGAAATGTGGGTGGTCTGAGAATCCGAGTTTGTGAAGTGAGGGCAATCTTATTGGGGCATGGGACCCTTAATCTGAAGGTTTGGCCTAACTCTAACCTTATAATTAGTGTCAGAACTGCACTGTGATTACATAAAAATGACAGATATCATTTCATAAATATGTGTTGGGCATTACACAAGTATTTTTAAATCTTTAGAAAACATCTCTAAGCCTCACAACAACTGTACACAATAGAATTATTATCCTAATTTTTTAGATAAAGAAACTAAGGAGTAAAAGCCACATGGACAGTAATTTAAGTGGAGTCTAAATTCAAACTCAGCACTGTCTGACTCAAAAGCCCACAATCTAGTCACTACCCTCACCAGCTTCTCATTACTGGTTATAGAAATACAACACAAGATAGCCACCTAAGAATGCATGGCACTTGTACTGAGAGATGACAGTAAAACTAAGGTACTCTTTGGGAAATTATGAACTCTTTCTATGAAATATAAAATACTGTACTTTAATACAAATTTAATTAGTAATTGCTCAACTTACTTGTTTGTGTTTTAGAAACATGTTTCTGGAGAAAATCAACTATCTGAGCCAAAACCTTCTTATTACAATGCGTTGATAACTTTTCATCACACTCATAACACCTGAAAAAATATAAAATTTAAGTAAATATTATAAAGATATCTTCAATAATTTTGCACACCAAGTAATAAAGTTGGCATTTATCTACTTTTGTCTTTAAATTATAGGGTAACAGAGATACACAGTATGAGGCACCAGGTGTAAGTCCAGAGAAATAAGCAAGGGATAGTTTATACAGAGTTTTATCACTCAAATTAAAGTTTTGGTAGTTTATCCTAAAGTGTAATGGAATGCCATGAGCAGTTTTCAAGCAAGAGAGTGATATGACCCTACTTACATTTTAAAAACACCACTCTGACTAAGATTGGAGGGCATAAGGAATAAAAGCAGATCAGGGTAGAAGCAGTGGATCTGGAGAAAAATGAACAGATTTACTTTATATCTTATCAGGTATAAACAGTAATAAATTAGATATAAAACATAAGAGACAGGGAAATGTCAAAATCACTCCCATGTTAAGGGAGAACTGGATTTTACCCCCAGAGGACATTTAGCAATATTTTGAGAGACATTTTTGTTTGTCACAACTGGGAAACTGCTACTGATGTCCAATGGGTAGAAGCCAGAGATGCTGCCTACAAGGAACAGGACATTTGTTATAATTCTTATAACAAAGAATTACCAGCCCAAAGGATAATAGTAATGAGAATGAGAAACCCTGGTTTAGATGAAACAAGACAACTTGTGTAAGTGAAATAAGTCAGTCAGAGAAAGACAAATATCATATGATCTCACTTATACGTGGATTCTAAGGAACTGAATGGATGGGAGAAGTGGACGGAGATAATCTCAGAGACACAGAGGAAGAACTGAGGGTTGCTAGTTGGGAGCTAGTGGGGATGAAGGAGAGGGGAAGGGATGAGACAATACAAATTGGTAACTACAATATGGCCTCAGGGATAGGAAAAGACAGTCCGAGG